GGTTTGTATTGGACTTTGAGGAGGAGTCTGGATGAAATATTCTAGTACATTTGTCGATCGCATGGGTGACATGGGTGTTATTGGTAAAGAAGAATTGGGCATAAGAGGCCCAGATATGGGACAGGGTACCAAGTCCAATTTTTGTTTACCATGAGTGTTACCTTGAGATGTATTCATATTTGTATGAGTATTGTGCAAGAATAACTGTAATCGTAAAGAATACTATCTGGCTTAGGTAGTGGTGGTAATATACGGCCCCCTTGCAAAAATTCACGGGTAAGAAATTCAGGTAGCGAATTAATAGAGCCGGGAAGATGTTCAATAGAAAAATCAAAAGTAGATAAGATCGCTTGCCAATGGGCAAATATTTGTTTTGAAATAAGATTTTGAACATCCTTTTGCAGAATGTCCTTAGCAGCTTTACAATTAGTACGTATCAAGAAATGTTGATTCAAAATATCACTTTGAAACTTAGTAACACAGTGTATAATGGCAAGTAATTCTTTTTTGATAGTAGAATAATTCTTTTTTATAAAATTTTATATTTTAAAAGTAAAACGAATTAATTGTTCAGTAGAATCATACCTTTGTTTTAAAAACATCACCTACTAAGTCCATGCAAGTGTTAATTCAATGAGGTACAATTGCTATAATATTCTATTTGGAAAAAATGCGCTCGCAATGGCATTCGAACTCTCGATCCTAACCCATACCGTCACAGCCCACCACGTCACCATTCATATGTATGGGTTTTGTTGATTTAAAAATATCATCATATGCTACTAAGTCAATGCAAGTGTCAATTCAATGAGGTACACTTGCTATAATATTCTATTTGTAAAAAATACGCATGCTATGGGGGATTCGAACTCTCGATCCCACCACCTTGCATTTAAAATGCTTCCTTATGATGTACCCCTCTTCCAACTGCTCCATTATTGTTATGCGAATATGGTACAAAATTTTACTTAAAAGAAATAAAAAGAAAGTACACGGTGAGACTTTAGCGCAAGGTACTTTGGTTGGGAAATTGGGTTGCTTTATTTTTTTCAATGATCAAAATCAAAGTTGAAATGAAGTTTTTTCGAACTTTATGACACACTCAAACTATCAGATTTTAAATTGAATGGTTGTAAATAATTGTGATCTTATTTGTACAATCCCAAAAATAAATATACAAAACCAGTGTACTAGACACTTAAGATACTTATAAATACCAAGATGGGTATACAATGGTTTGTAATGTTTTTCTCTTTTTCTCTATTATTTTCTTTCCTGATTTTCTCTATTTTTAACAATACAAAGGCATATTTAATTTTTCCTAATTTTCTCTAATTTTTTGACAATAAAAAGCTATAATTATTTATGCTGACAGCGTTGGGAGTGGAAACCCCATCTAACTCTCCTATATAGTCATATATCACTCCTTTATAACTACTAAATTTTTTTATACACTTAATATCCTTACTGCTCGATATGGTAAGTTTTTGTTCTGATGTCTTTTTGGTGTAAAAATAATTTATAGAAAAAACATTAAAGATAAAAAAGTGTAGAGACATGACATTGTGATTGAGACAATCCGTGCCTTCAATTCAGAATGGACGGTTGGATAAAGGGAAGTATATAAGCTTTATATTGTAGGGGAAACATAGAAAGCTTGTCTTTAATTAAAGATCGAGTAAGAATTTTTGTAAAAACAAAGCATTTAGTAAACTACCGTAGAGCCATTACCCACATTAGATATCATATCATCCACATAGAGTGATATCAAATGAAGTATCGATCTTTAGGAAAATTTACATCTGTACTATATTTAAATATGGCAATTATGTGGAGGTAAAAAAAAATTATCAAAAATTATGAGGAGGTCCATCAGTTGGACGATTCAAATATCAATGCTATGTTTTTTACATTTTTTTTTTTTTTTCAAATTTTCTTGTCTATCCAATGTTTCAAACATTTGACCATTTTTTTATTTTATTTTTAGTTTTTTAAATGTAGGGATCAATCCACTTAGCTTGTGTAAACATTGTGGAAACCAAGCAATCCAACATTCGGAATTGTCCCTAGACTGTGAAATTCATAGTCCAGGTACTATTAGAGATATAGAACCTCAGATTGCTTGGCTTGCACGACTCTTACACAAGCCAAGTGGTTTGAAGTTTGGAACCTCTTAACGATCCTTGGAGTGAAATTCACAGTCCAACGATCGCTTTGAGTTCCAGACCTTAGACCCCTTGGCTTACATAATCTTCAAAGAAGCCAAGTGGTTCGGGATCCAGACCCCACACTTCACAAAAATTAAAAAGTAAAATAGAAAAGTGATTCGTTTGGAACATTGGGCAGAGTAGCCAAATCGGAATGGAATAACAAATGGACCTCATTATAATTTTTTGAAAAATCTGGACTTACAAGTAATGCCCTTTTTATTAAGGTACCGATATAATTTTTTTTTAAAAAATAACTACTAAAATGTCATTTTCATGTTCTAAAACAAAATCTACTCTATTATATTGTAATATAATGAAATATTGTAATATAACGAAACCACCCATCTAAAAAAATCTTATTTGTAGCATTTGTATGATCCCAAATTTTATACTTGTTATATTCATCCCAATAATTAATGCGAAGATGAAAAAGAAACTGATTTTGCACCCTAAAAAAGATCAAAATGAGTCACTCTTTAGGTATTGGAAGAAATATTTTAAATCCCCAAAATAGTAGATCTTGCAATAAATTACCTAGGCCGTCCATTTTCCAAATTTTCATGCGTTTATAGCTATTCTTGATTTGAAATATTTTTGGATTTCAAAATTTTATAATTAGAGATGAAAATGGATTATCGTGCCATACTAAAACTTTTCGACACCAAAATTGATCTTATAACAAAATTTGGAGATGCATCTTACTTCGATGGTTTAAGATTGCAAACCTTATATAACCACACCCATTGTATAATCCCATCGCAATTTACATTTAGCCTAGAAATAAAATTAGGAAGTTGCGTTGCATATCTGATTTTATGTTATCAAAACGGAATGAAGAAGCGTGGTTTGGTTTGGCTTATTTGCAAGCTAACTGCGTACTCTGCTGACCCTATTCCCACTCCTGCCGTTGCAACCAAACGCGCGCCCTAAAATGTATTATTAGTAATGAAGAAACGTTGGAGCATATTTAGAGTCGTTGAAGAGGAAAAGATGTGGAGATTAAATATATGGGAAAATTTTTCTATACTTCGCCGCAATATACATTTTGTATATCTCCCTCTTATCTAGTTGTCCAATTTAAATGAACGGCTGAGGTTATTTGTCTCAAAATGTCACATGTGAGATCTCAAAATATTTTAATTTTAATTTTTTTTTTATAAAAAAAATGGATATAAAATTTGGTACTTGCTATCATCTCAATAGGGCGCACATAAAAAAACATTAAAAAATATTCTCAAGAAAAAAACCAAAAAAATATCCGAAAAAATTTAAGGGTGTTTTGATTATTTTATTTTATTTGATTTTTTTTTTTATATATTTTTTGCATGTACGAGTTTAATTAAAATTTTTTTAATATAAATTACAAATATAATAGTGTATATATATCTAACATTGTCATTCAGACCATCTTAGCTATCCATCCAGAGGAAAGTATATTTAGATGTACAAGGCGGGGAAGTTTCGAAAGTTTATCCTAAATGCATGCTTCCATGTTTTATTGGCACTATCATACCTGACATAGAAACAGATATTGTGCTCCAGCGGGAGTATTAATCTGACAAGAAACCTTGAAAACAAAAAAGGAAAAATTAAAAGCACTGTATGAGCCTAAAACGTATTCTGCGATTGAACAGAGACCAGTCACATAAAGTGCTTAATAACCTAAAAGTTTATATTTATTTCTTTAAAAATGATTATCTTATGATTTAATCCAAAAAATTTCAGATAAAAAAAATCTTCACCAAGTAGCTCCGAGAGAGTATGTATACATTATTTTCCTGCAGGAACAATGCCATACACGCTCGTTTTAACATGATCTCTCGATTTTGCAGAGCATCCTCTATGCCATTGGGGTAGTTACAATGCAAGCAGTAGGTAAAGCATCAATGGGATAACCAAATCAATTATGAGAGCATTTTATGTCACTCTCATGATCCTTCACGCAGTCAGTGAGTGAATTTAAATGGTGGTAGCATCCCCATATCTAGTTACCTGGTATCTAGTTACCCAAATGGGGGACAATTTTGTTCGACTCGTAAAGGGCATGACATAAATTTAAGCTCCAGTGTAATTTATGGTGACAAAACAAATATGTGCATGAAAGGGCTCATTTGTTGGTTGTTTGATGCAATGCCCACTGTATAATTTGAGTTAGGTTGCAATTACAAAATTAACTAACAAATGCATGTCTTGGAGTAAATTTCCTTAATATAATTTGAAGAAAAGTTATAATTTTTTTCAATCTGAGAGAGGTCATTCAAAAAGGGCTATTGAAGTTCAATCGATTTTGGTTTTATCGATGTGAGTAAACTTTATGAGAAATTAGAGAGAAAACAACTGATTTTTAAGTCATTTATTTGAAGTTAGATAGAAAACAAATGATTTTAAATCTCAGTTGACCTTACCCAGCAGACAAGAATATATTATACTGAATTTAACGTATAAGATTATGGGACCTTGCTAGTTTTCTTCAGTGAATCAATCCAAGTTATCCAATAAACTCCAAAACTCCTAATCAAGATTATGTGGATGGAATCTTGGGATTAGTTATATGAAATATCATTAAAAAGGGTAATCCAGTTAAGAATCAGCCAGGTTCTTTCAAGTTTTCTATAAAAAATTGGTTGAAAACTGAGATATTTATATAAAAACGAAAAAGAAAATATTATCCATGTCAACTTAGATAGCTGCATTTCAACTTCCCTTCCCAATGACCACTTGAAGAGACACAAACATTGTGGCCTTTCAGCCTAAAGGAAGAAGCTCAAACCCACTAGTTGTTAGGGACTAATGGAGGATCTTCAGCCAAAACCAACATCACCTTCCCAAACATCAATCTATGCCCTCCTCTCTTTTCTCCTACTATTAGCCCTGAAAATTAAAACAGATAGAGATAGAAAGAGAAAACTACCTCCTGGGCCTCCAACACTACCCATAATAGGCAACATTCACCAGCTAGGTAGGCTCCCACATCAGAACCTTGCTTCCCTTGCACAAGAGCATGGTCCTCTGATGCACCTACAACTGGGCCAAATCACATCCATTGTGGTTAGCTCACCTGAGCTCGCCGAAAAGGTATTGAAGGCACACGACCTTGTCTTTGCTAGTCGGCCGGCATTGTCGAGTGCCAAGATTTTTACCTATAATTGCACAGACATCGCCATGAGCTCATATGGCCCGTACTGGAGGGCGGTTCGAAAGATTTGCATCCTGGAGTTGCTTAGTGCAAAACGTGTGCAATCATTTGGCTTTGTTAGAGATGAGGAGACCGCCCATTTCGTGGGATCAATCATGGAGGCTTCTCATACTCCTGTGAATCTCACAGAGAGAATTTTCTCAGTCATCAGTTGTATGCTCGAGAGAGTGGGCTTGGGCAGAAAATATGTCAATGACGAGTTTAGAGAGATCATCAGAGAGACGATTGAGGTAGGCAGTGGGTTTACTATAGAAGACTTGTATCCACCTTTGGGCTTTATCAGCATTCTATCAGGCAGTAGGGCAAGAATGAAGAAGGTTCACAAGAAACTTGACAGCTTCTTCGATAAGGTAATAGAGGAGCATGAAATGAATGGCAAAGGGCATGAGCAAGGGGACTTGGTGGATGTCCTCCTGCGGCTTCAAGAGGAAGGGGATGTGAACGTGCAACTAACCCGAGATAATATCAAGGCAATCATATTTGTAAGAATTACTATAACTTGTCCTCAAATATGAAATTTAAGCTCCCTTGGGTTGACATGATACCCCAAATTTGATGGAGAACAGTCGAAAAAACAATCAAAAGTCAAAACCCCATATATGCTTTGTGTAAACTTGGTACCCCCTTTTTTTACTTTATAATAGGAATTTCCATCAAATTTTGTCATCTTTTAATTCAGATTTGAACTTTCTAGCATGAATTTTCATGGTCAAATCTGTCAGAGAATGAAAATGAATGGTATGTAAGCCTAGTTGTGATCCAACTATGGACATTTGGCCCTTTGATTGCAATTAGTCTTTATGATTAAGATGCTTTATACACTAAATTTAAAAATGACTTGTGTCCCATAGATTAGCTCCTAGGTATATGCTAAATATGTCAAATTTTGCTTTATTAGGACATGTTTATGGCTGGGATTGAGACCTCATCTTCAACCGTGGGATGGGCAATGGCAGAACTTATGAAGAACCCTCAGGTGATGGAAAAAGTCCAAAAGGAAATAAGGCATGCGCTTAGAGGAAAAGAAAGAGTGGGAGAGGGTGACCTGATTCACTTAGAGTACTTGAAGTTAGTGCTTAAGGAGACACTCAGGTTACATCCTCCTGTCCCACTGTTGCTTCCAAGAGAATCCATGGAGACATGCACATTAGAAGGTTATGTAATACCAGCCAAAACTAGAGTCTTTGTAAATGCTTGGGCCATTGGAAGACATAGAGACTACTATGAAATTCCAGAGAAGTTCGAGCCCGAGAGGTTCTCTGATGGTTTGGTGGAGTATAAGGAGCAGCGTTTCGATTTCATCCCCTTTGGGGGAGGGAGGAGGGGGTGCCCCGGTGCCCTATTCGGTATGGTTACTTCAGAACTTGTTTTGGCCCAACTTCTTTACTACTTCGATTGGAAACTACCTGAAGGAATGAAACCAGAGGAGGTAGATATGAGTGAAACTTGTGGGATGACAGCATCAAGGAAGCATGACCTAGTTCTAATCCCAATTCCTCACTTTATAACTAGTAGTTCATAGCCATCAATATGTAATTGAAGATTGTATCATGAATAATCTTAAGGAATTTGCCCTACTGCAATTTGACATGGTAATTCAGGATTGTTGTATGGAGTCAAACTTACCATAAAGGAAAACACAACAATTTTACGTTGTAAAAGATTTGAAATTTGCTATTCCACTCTCGCCCCTCCCCACCCCCCACAATAAAAAAGATAAAAAGAAAAAAACCAACCAAACTTATATTTCCATAAAGAAAAATAATGTGAAAGAAAATAAAAATCATCTCTAACAAGGGAAGTTCGTATTGGAAATACACACTTTATTTGCTCAATTTGAAACCTCAGTCGAAGGCCCATGCTTATTTTTACACCGGTGATCCTTCCCATGCCTTTCCTAAGTGTTTAGGTAGTTTGCGGACTGGTAAAGACAGGCATCTTTGGTCTGATTTATCAACTGGTCCTGTTAATTATTGGCCCTCAATATTAGGAGAAGGGGCTTTACATAGTGGTGAATTCTACCCTTTATCTACTTTATATGGAAAGCCAAAGCCTCATATTGGGTTCTTAGATGATTTAGCTTCATGGATTTGGTGTGCTTCGAGGTTTTTGTTCGTCCCATCTCTGAGAATATATGCTTATGTCTTTTTCTAACATGTTAATTGTTTAGTTTTGTACGTTGTTTGTGGATGGTATTTTGTTGATCGATACGACTAGAAGCAGCATCAACGCAAAGTTAGAATTTTGGAGGGATGCTTTATAATCTAAAGGTTTTAAAATTAACTGGACTAAGACAATATAAAAAATATAAAAAATACAAGTTGGGTAGTCAATAAATAACATACCCATAGAATGAATGCAGACGGCCCCCACTAGCATCACCTGCATGCACGTTTGTGTGTGTGTGTAACCCCATGGGTGGTTGTATGTGTGGATAAGGTCAATAATGCATGCAATACAAAGGACACGAGTGCCTGAAGGGTGAGCCTTGTGAGCCAAGCACTTGTAGTTCTCCCCTGCTAAGACTGGTGTGTCACTAGGAGAGGGGAGCCGGACCTACACCTTTGCTGCTTGCGAGCTTGGAGAGTGGTTTTAATCTCAGTCCCTTACACTTCGACGATACTCAATTTAGGGGTTGGGCTCAGAGGGATTGCAATGTGGGTTCCTAAACGAGGTCTGTCGGATTTTGGATGTGGATGGACTTAATTGTAGGTTTGGGTTGTTAGAAGTGGCCCTAGAAATGGGCTTGCTAGTGGGCTAAAGTTGGAGGGATGGTTTGGTTAAGATTTGGAACGATGGTTTCGTAAGTGTTTGACGTGTTGGTTAAGTGTAGAGAACCAAGGTTGGTTTGACTAGGGTTAGAGGGCTACGGTTAGGGAGCCTTGGTTAAGTGTAGGATCTTAACTAAGGTACGTTTGACATAGTTAGGATGACTAAGGTAGGTTAGGTTTGGTCAATGTATGGTTAGGCTTTGGGAAAGGGTATGGTCAGTCTTTTGCGCAAAAGGTAGTAGTCTCTCACTTGGAAGCCTGCAAAAAAGGATCTCTCACGGGGTGACGGGGTGGGTTTATATAGAGTCTTTACCCAAACCTTGGTGAATACTATTGGGTGAAAAGAGAAAAAAGGAAACAAAAAAAAAGAAAAAAATTACAAAAAAAATTCTAGTAAAAAGAAAATAGATCAAAATAAACATGGACAATGTCCAAAAATAACACATAGGTCCCTCTGAAGGGCACCTATAGAATGAGGACTTGTTTTATCACTAAAAAGTAGGGAACAATCCCTCTTATCGGGCTGAGATATGGCACCGGCAAGTAGTTTGAAACCCAAACTTCTGCCTACTATAAAGTTGGGCCACCTTACAAGCTATGAAGGACACTGGATCTGGACCCCAATCATGACTTTTCATATACCATTTCCAAGGTTTTTGAGTCACGATCGAATTGAATCTATTTTGTGCCCGAGATGATGATCAGGTGGCAAGTTATCGCCGAAGAAGCAGAGAGAGGTCGTATGAACCATGTTATACATAACCATAAAAACTTGTTTTCTTCTCTCGAAGATTTATTTCGATCGGCCGTTCATCATGTGTATATACTAAATGAAATTGCTCAGCGAGGATCGCAACATTTCCAATTTTCTCTCTGATCTACCGTGCCAATCAAAAGACATATTACTGTCAAATTTGCCCAATTTTAGAGGATGGTTGCAGAAATTTGCCAATTTTTACCGTGTTCTTGGACTGCAATGTTGGAATAGTTCTTGGACTGCAATGTTGGAATAGTATGCCATACACCCCACTTTTACAATTGAGCTGAGTTTTAGGTGTTAAGGGTTTGAGACCTCCACATTCCATCCGTGATGCTCCATTAGATATCAAATTTTAGGGATTTCCAGTGATTTTGCACGTTCGGTCCATACACAGGTGGTGTACGGTCCCCTTATGCCGACCTTTCGAATTTTCTAAGTTCAAATATCCAATTGAGTTGAAATTTTGGGATTTTATTTAGGGAAATGGGATCAACCCCTTTTGACACCAAATCATGGTCATTAATGTGCTTTTCAAAACAGAGACCTTACTCCCTCTTCATGGCAGTTTGGGGCGGAAAAGCCCTGCATGTGCTGTGTCTTTTATTAGGTAAACCCCCAACCATGGAAAAATGGGGATTTGAGATGGGTGATTCTTGAACAGGGGCATGATGTGCACGAATTTGGTACCCGAAAGCTGCGGTTGCTATCATCGTCATTGTTATTCCCACATCGGGGCAGGGGATTAGTAAAAAGAGAATGCAAATGAAGTATAGCTGAGGTTAGGATGTTGAGATGGATGAGTGGTAAAATAAATGATAAAATTCAAAATGAATTCATTTAAGGGAACTTAGGTGTAGCTTCAATAGGCGATGAGTGAAACTAGACAGGTGGGCGGGCCATATGCAGTACAGAGCCAATACAACACTCGATAAGAGGTGCAATTTGGTTCAAGTAGAAGACTTCAAAAGGGCATGAGAAAGCCCATAAGAACATGGATAGATGTAGTAAAAAAGTATACGATGACTTTTAGTCTTATTAAGAGTATGATCCGTAATAGAGCCGAATGGTAGAACATGTTTCATGTAGCCGATCTCCAATCGTTGTGATAAGGCTCCGATGATAATAACTGACGTTAATTGTTTAGTTTGTTCATATTCACAGCTCAAGAGACAAAAGGACTCAAGGGGCTTGGATTGGGATTCGATAGAAAGTGCTTTCATGAGTGAGTTGAAAAATGGTGGTTTGCTTTTGGGCCAAGAAGAACTGTAGTTTGGGATGTCAAATTTGACAATTCTGAATCGCCCAATTCGCAATTATGCCACTGCGAGGTCCATGAAATCGTATACGTCGATGTTTCTGTTTGAATATTTATCCTTGATTACAAGCAAATACATGGATTTGGGGAGATTTCACTCATTACTGTTTGAATTTCCTTAAAATTTGAAGAAATTGGATGGAATCAGTGATGATGAGCTTGGGGAAAGAATTCTTCATATATATATATATATTTTTTATCTTGAATATAATAGTTGTTAGATCGGCGCCACCAAGCTGCTGCTTTTGACATGGTTATAGCTGAAGCTTCCTGATCGAGAGTGACCATGGCAGCCATGTTATTACCCAAATCCAAGAACTTGAGAGGCCAATTGTGGGTTCTATTTTGCTAAATTTATGGGTACATTCGTCATGGCCATATCCTAATGGAGCATGCGCAAACACCTTCTAGGCCGTTTCCACAACTCTATTCCCTGTCATTTATGCAAAACGATGCAGCAAAAAGACATGTGCTTTTAACAATGATGGATCTTACTAATGATTTAAGAAACGCCGTGCCGAAACAGAATCACATGGTCCGACTTGGAAATCGGTCACCCCGTGCTGTTTCTATCAAAATATAGGAAATTGTTTAGTTCTAGAATAGTACCATTGATTTGCTCCAATAAAACAACATTTTGCTACAGTAAAAATCGTCGTTTTGCTATAGTAAAAATGCTGATTCACTGATCTGGACTGGTTTTTGGCCGGTTCAATATTTTTTGCTCTTGTTTTTTCACCAGTTCGCTATTTTTTTCATATAGTAAAACGACAATTCAGATTGCCGATTCACCGATCTAGAGCGATTTTTTTCTTGCCCAATTTGGGTCGCCAATCTGGTTTTCAAATCACTGGATTATACCAAAATTTAAAAAAATGGATTAGGGACCCGGATTGTCCACCCCAAATGGTCTTTTAGTTTCTAAAAGAAATAGGTGAATACTGAGACGTTGTTTTTTTGTTTGGATATATGTATAATTATTAATTATAATATAGTATTATAATATTACAGTAAATATTTAAAATATTAGAAAACATTTCCATATTATAAGATTAAAAATAATAATTTCTCATATAAAGTGAAATTAGTATCATATCAAAGTATCAAATATGTATCAATTCACTTTACTCATCCAAAATTATCACAATATAACTAACTATAATATTATATACTAAAATTGAAACTTTTGTTTTATATTTTATAAATATTTTACAATACAAAGAAGAACAAATCCAAAATATCTTATAATATCATCTCATTTAAAAAATCTTATTAACAACTATAAGAAAAATAATACATTACATAATTTATATTGTAAATAAATTAATAAAAAATAAAATATTTGGTTATCAATGTATAATTATTAATTATAATATTATAATAAATGTGATTAAATTTTAATGTTATGGCATTAAAAAAAATTCAAAAAAAGATTTTTACCTTAAGAATGAAAAATAAAGATATCGAAATCCAAAAATACAAAAGAGCTTCTCGGCAACAAGACAACAACTAAATAAAAATAAAAATAATATGGTAAGAAAACCTACCATATGGTTTCCATATTAATCATTTAAGTAATTAGTGTGTCATATGGTAACAAATTTAATTATCATAGTATGGTTGGTAACAAATTTAATTAGCATACCATAATCGACCCTTGCTTTTTAATTCAGATC